CCCCTGGGCACACTCTGGCTCATTCTCACCCCCCCAGTCCCTCTCTGACCGGCAGCTCTCCAGCCACTCCTCCCCAGGCCTGTAGCCCCCCTGGGGGTTGTTGTGGCCCAAGGGCAGCCCCCGGCATTTGCCCTCAGTGAAACTCCCCCAGTTGGGCTCAGCCCATGGCTCCAGCCTGGCCAGGTCTCTCTGCAGCCTCCCTGCCCTTGAGCAGATCAACACTCCCACCCAACTGGGTGTCCTCTGCAAACTGACTGAGGGTGCACTTGATCTCCTCATCTAGACCATCAACAAAGATGTTAAAACAGGAGTGGCCCCAAAACCGAGCCCTGGGGACACCACTCGTGGCTGGCTGCCAACAGGATTTTACTCTGTTCCCAATGCTTTAAGAACAGAATATTGTGGCACTGCCTTTCCTCATGGTCCTTTTAAAGCTCTCCAGGATGGACAGCCAAGGTGTGCAAGATAACCAGGCACTGGGGCTCCAGCTGGAGATGCACCTACAAGTTACATGGACGGGTAAATCCAAGCATCATTTCAATTTCTGCATTTATTCAAAGCTCGTTGCTCTGTACAGACCACCAGCTCCTTCACCATTAGGGAATAAATGGTACAACTCAGCGGAGGGACACACCACCACGGGACAAAGAGCAGCCTGAGGAGCCACCAGCAGTGACAGCCACACTGCAGTAAGAGCAAGCCACTGCTGGTTTGCTGTGATTTCTTTCATCTACAAGTCCTGGTGTAGCCATTCACACTGATTCAGAGAACAAGCCTTTCTCACAGCACCACTACTGGTCACTCTGCGCTCTGAACCTATCTCTTTGCTTCAACTCCTTTGCAGTCAGCCTAGAAGGAACCAGAGATTTTAAAGACCTGCATCAGCTGTCCAAAGATGGACACCTCCGCTCGCCGCCCAAGTGGTTTCCTTACCAAAGCCTGTCAGCTTCTCGGGGTGACAAAACTCTGGCAACATCACTTCTCTGTGTCTCCTGCCCTGTATCTGCCCCTGTTGCCAAAATGGAGAGGAGCATTAATGCCAACAGCATGGAACCAGTCGTCATCCCTCTGCTGCAGCCGCCCGGGGGGCTGGAGGGCAGGCTGTGAGCAGCAGCAGCGTGAGCTTTGCATTACTAATTCACAAGGTGGAAAAAATTCTGAACTAAGGGTCGAGGAGGATAGTCAAGCTCTCCCATGCTACACCAGGAAACCGTGGACAGAAGACAGCTGCTAAGCTCCGCGTTGAGGTTGGTGAGGTGGGGACTCAGGCTGTAGTTCAGCCGCAGAAGCGTGGAGCTGGCGTGGACACATCCTCACGGGGTTATGAAGCGTGGGAGCTCGCACCAGCGCAAGGCCGGTCTGTGTGCACAGTCTGGGTTAATTCTGCAGTGAAGGGATGACACAGGTGACAATCAGTACGGCAACCGGTGAGCAAGCCAAGCCAGCAACACGGAAAACTATCAAGCAAAAGCATATCCAATAAAACAGTTTTCACTCAAAACCGTCAGGCACTTCACCACCTCTACGCCCTTTGAAAAGCCACCTGGCAGCTGCAGAACACAGAGATTGGTTTTGGGAAGACTTTCTGCTGTCCACTGTGGACACGACGTGCCAAACCACTCACTGCCAGTTCCCAGCCAGGGGCTCCTGCCTCTATAGTTCTCTTAACGATCCATAGCCCACTCTAGACAAATATTTTACCTTGCAAAGAAATCGAAACAAGCCCACGGAGCTTCTTCCCAGAGGTCAATTAAGGAACCTGAGTACAAATGGTGTGGTGAGCAGGCTGAGTGCCAACCTCCTCCCATGGCACAGGCTGTCTGCAGAAAAAAATGCCTGGAAAAGGGTGTCTGTGGCTGGGCAAAAGGAAAGAACTCTTGGCCAGAGGAAAAAAATACCAACTGCTGTGGGATCTTTAATGTTCCATCAGAAAAGCTACAACCGTACGTTTCAGAGGTTTATTTGAAAACCCAACGTAAGAAAAAACTTCCCTAAGTTGTTCCTGAAAAATGTACCTGCCTCCTTGGGAATTAGCTGACCCTGCTAAAGGTGTCAACTTGTGCTTCTGGGAACCTACGCGTTAAAAGCCTGATGACTGCACCACGAGAGCATGACTTTAGCAGTGTTAAAATCTCCTCCCTTACAGATTACTTCAGACACGACTCGAACACCGTTTCCAGCTTGAACACCGTCCACGGTCATTTCGAGCACTGTGGTTCTTCCAGTTTAAGGTGCTGAGCCACCAGGAGAAGATCTCCAAAAGCCTCAGCTCTCACGCTATCACTCTGCAGCCTCAAAGTCACTCTTTTAACTCGAACTAGGAAAATTCACCACCAGCTAATGCACGTGTGGATAATTTGAGTTCACCAGAGACTCAGGCAGTGCATGGTGCAGCGGTAGAAGTCTCCTTCTGTTGAAAAGTTTGGGCATGCATGGACAGAAACACCTCACGGTTAAAATGTTTTCTGGTTATGCAGACTGAATTCTGTCAATTAAAAGAAAAACATGCTTGGCAATTCAAACAAACATCTCAAAAGCACTGCAGTAGTACTGCAAGGGAGCAGTTAGTAGTGAAATATATAGATATAAAGCGTTACCCACTGCTATTGAGACAGCACTTATGACAGCTCCCAAGTAGCCCTGGATGAACTTGGATGTCGGAGAAGGCTTTGGAAAGAAAAACAAAACATATTTTCAATAAACAAACTTCTGGTTATTAAAACGCAACCAAGCTTTTTTGTTTGTTTTCGTCTTATTTGTTTTAAACCAGAGACAGGTTTAATTTTGTCATATTGTTCTGTGACACATGGTCTGTCATCTAGCAGCGGCAAAAGCAAGGAAAATTGTAGCCTCACGAGCAAGGTTAAAGGGAATGGAAAATTAATTGGCATCAAAAAATTATAGTAATAGCAGCTTAAAAGAAGTATGTGAATGAAATTCAGCAAATAGTACAAAATTAGCATTCTTACACACTAGTGATGAACCCCAAACTCTCCACTTTAAATATTTGTCTTTGAAATGTTATCTCAATGAGCTGGATGGTTTCCAGCTCAGCTCCTCATCCTGAGCTTCCCACATCCTGCCATGGGATGAATGAAGACATGGAAGAGAGCAGGGACAGCCCCACCGCTTCCCAGCACCACTGCCGGTAGCGCATATAAAACCCCGGGGAGACGGCGGCGTGATCACGGAGCCACCTTCTCCTATCCAAAAATCCAGATACCATTTTGCTTTGTGCTCATTTACACATCAAATGAAACCATTTCATACCAGTTTGAACTAGATACTGGTTCAACTCAAGGCACCGAGCGCTACTTATGTGCCTCGAGTCATTTTGAGATCCTCATGCCATTTACAGTTGAGGTTTAAAATGGAAGTCTACACAGGAGAATGGCCAATCTATAAATTCATCACAGTGTCAACTCCAGAGTTTCTATTAACAGCAAAGAGACAAGACTTATGTTTCTGTGTCAAAACAGACCCAACGCGCTGCATGCGCCGCATATGTTGGGTCTCCTCACCTTTGTCGCGTTGCGGTTTGCATAGTTGACGCAGGCATTGTGGCTCTGATTCAACCACTGAAGAAGAAACAAGAAGAGACAGGCATAAATATAACTTTACAAAAATAACAACAACAACAAAAAATCTGTAAACATGAGAGCGCTGCAGGAAACCCCATCTCCCTTTGGACCGGCTCGCAACTTGCCACCTCTCTTCAAAGGCTCGTGCACACCCTACGTCCAAGCTAAATCCCTTCGAAGGGAGGGACAGAAATCTTGAGGCACCTAGTGCCCAGCAGGCAGCTCTGCTTCCCCATCTACTTCATGTGCAACTTCTCCTGGCCCGGTCCACCTCCACACAACGCCTCAGTGCTATCAGTCTTTATTTTTGCCGGTACCAAATCCATACGGCTAAGACGTTGCACTAAGCCCAGCAGCCAGTTTATCAGTCCTTTTTTTAGCTCCATGGTTCTAGAACAGGGGGTCATAGGAGGTTTGGGATGAGGAACAGGAGATGAGGAACAGCTGAGGAGCGACTGAAGGAGCTGGGAGTGTTCAGTGTGAGGAGGAGGAGGCTGAGGGGAGCCCTCATCCCTCTCTGCAGCTCCTGACAGGACATTGCAGAGGCTGGGGCTGGGCTCTGCTCCCAGGGGATCAGGGACAGGACAAGGGGAACGGCTGGAAACTGCCCCAGGGGAGGGTCAGGCTGGGCAGGAGGAGAAAATGTTTCCCAGCAAGAGTGGTCCGAGAGTGGAACAGGTTGCCCAGGGAGGGGAGAGTCCCCATCCCTGGGGGGGTTTCAGGGCCGTTGGGATGAGCTGTGGGGGATGTGGGGTCGGGGAGAACTTTGCAGAGTCGGGCTGAGGGTTGGACTCGGTGATCCCGGGGGCTTTTCCAACCTGAGTGATTCTGGGGTTCTGTGATGTGCAGAGCTACCATCGTAGGGATACAGATGCCACTAAACTGCTATTTCTGTCCACAAATTTTTGGACTAGGATCTGCCACCAAAGCAGCAACTGGGGATGAGTAGTACCATGTTTCTAAAGGGTTTTATTCACAGCAGCTGCTGGTGTTGCAAAGAAAATAATAGTTTCTGTCCCCAAAACATCACACTCCCAGGTCAGAGCATGTCAGAACCAAACTCAGAATCCCAGAACCCTCTCGGTTGGAAAAGCCCTTGAAGCCCCTCCAGTCCAACCATGAACCTCACCCTGACCCTTCCCAACTCCACCAGATCCCTCAGCACTGGGTCAACTCTGACTTCTTCCAGCTGTGGCCAGAACTAAGAAGTGTGAGGGATAAAGTAGGGGTGAGGAGAGACAGAGTGAAAGGAGGCACTAAAACATGGGAATCGGTCACTGCCGAGTCCATGGCCCACAAACACATTTTTCCTGCCAACCAGCTCTCTAGCCTGGAACTCTGGACCTAGCAAACCTTACCTTATTGTTTTATTTAAATAATAGTAATAATTACAAAGTCCTCTTGCCAATATGCGCTGGAAATTTGCTTCAGTTTTCCAGCTGTGGGGGGTTTTGTAACCCCCACAGCTCATATCTACATGAGCAGGTCCACAGGACTGGGCTAGGGCTAACCTGAGTCAAAGACAACTGCTTCACCGTACAATCCTGCTCCTACAGAACCCAGAGTTTGTTAATGCAATAACACACGCCATCCCTAAATCCTATGCTATTTGCTCAGATGACTCTCTTTTTCAGAGAGATGTAGACAAACTGCTCAGATATTGCCCTTAATCTAGAGTTTAATCCGTCTCTAGATTGAAGACAACCCCTCTACCTGTTTCTTGACTCCATTGTCTTCCCAGGTGGCCACCTGACACCCTCATGGGCTTTCTGAGTGGTGCCTCTCTAGGCTGCTACTTCTCCTACTTGCATTTTTCAGAAAGGGGTGACCCACGGGCCCATCATGGTGGAGAGAAGAGTTTGAGAACCACTCGTCAAGCAGCAGTAGCTCAGGCTACAACTGCCAGACTTGCCTGCTACAACTTCCTCCTCGAGCGGTCTTGTTTTGGTTCCACATTTGTCTAGTTTTAAAAGAATTATTCCACCCTTTTAAAGCCAAAAGTTTCTCCCAGCTACACCATGATGGTGGGAATAAGAGCTCTTCACATAAGCCATTTACAGGGCACTGAGCCCACACCAGCTCTCGGGGCTGGCTCGCTCCTCACGCGCGCAAGAGTAATTTCTCCAAAAGCCAACTCTTTCCATTAAAAACAAACAAACAAAAAAAAAAGGTGAGGCAAGTTGCCTTCAAAAATATGAATGAACCTAGAAGTCTCCAGCCACTCTCCCACTCCCAGCAGGAAAAGCCACATGGCCCAACTTATAACTAAATACCCCAAACCACAAGGTACTAGCACGTACCAACACATTCTCGGTTCTGCAGTCTTTCTAACATACCAGGCAGATCCCATTCTGCTTTGATATTTCTTAATCGCATAATTCTCTCTCATCACTTACTCTGTAGACAATAAAAAGACATTCGCAACTAAAAATAAGTCTGAAAGTAACTTGGGCTTGCATTTCTGTTCGTGCTTAAATTATACTCAAGTGGGGTGTTTACTATGGATAAAACTCATTCACACGCACGTTTCTTCCCCTTTCTCTTAATTCCCAGAATTTTTACGGGAAATAACACCAGCAGCTCCCTACATACAGACCTTTTTTTCCCCAAAGCCCCTATAGCACACTGAACGCAGAGGTCCTTGGCTTTGCAATGCACAGCTATTCCTGGGCAGAGGGGCTCCCGCTGCCCCCAGCCTTGAGCACACACTGCACTTCCAACGGGAATTCACCAAGGAAGATCCCAACTACTTGACAAGGTGTCTTCAAAACAGCAGATGTGTGAGCTTAAGTGCTTAAGGGCCTGCATTTTCATGGAAGCACACACTGTGCAATCATTTACAGCTGTCCAAAACGGGTCCAAAAAGCTGATTTTGACATCCTGGGATATTTTGCATCTCCCCTATAACAGCATAAATAGCTGGGTGCTGGAAAACGGAACTAATATTTTGCTTACAGCTCATTCCAGACCTACAACACCTTTCCCTGCTTATATCCAGCCACACCATGTCCCCGTTAACTAAAGCATTGACGGTGCAGAAAAGCCACGTGCATCAGTTTGTCCTCTAGACACAAGTCAACTGCTGCTTTCCCCTTTCCATCCCATTCTCCCCCCATCTGGTGCATGATGGAGGATGAGCGTTACCTGCCAAAACACGGTGGATGCCAGCGTCTGGTTGGGCAAGAGAAGACCAACGACCTGCAGGAGAAAAAAAAGTTTCTCATTAGCAAATGCATTGTTGGTTTGCTCTCGGTGCTCTTCTAGGCATGCAAACAGCAAGCGTATTTCTAATTCTCTGAATAAATTATCTTAATTTATAGCTTTATTTCATTATAGTTACTGAACTTCCCTGCCTATTGTCTCTCCATTTTCTGGAGTAGCATAGCTGCCCGTGAAAGCTTCACGTCTTTAATTATTGCTTGCGACACACCATGCAAAGAGTCTGGCAGCAGATATGTTGAAAGGTTAGCTCATTAAAATATAATCAGTTCTTTAATCCAGGTATATCTGGAGAATAACACAAACATTGCATGAATGCAAGAGTTCAAAGTTGTTACTATTGGCAGTGAAGGGGGCTTTTCTTATTTTCCTTTGGCACGTTCGCTGTTTCAAGCACAAGAAAGAAATCCGATTTGAACATCTGAAGACAGGAGTGCCACCTGGAAGCACATGTGCTCCTGTTTGGGAGCCTGAATTTTGTTTCAAGAGGATTGTTGATGTGTCATACTCCGAGCTGCGAAAACTCCTGCTTGGGCTATGAGCTCAGGCTGGCGATCGCCGGCTCCCAGCGGCTTACGGCTGCCTGTCCCTGCGCCTCTGGCCAGGTGCTGCCTGCTCCTGCATGAACATGAGATGCCACAGGCTTTGCAAGGTCACCCATCGTGGCACCCAAGGCCACAGACGTGGGTGCTGCCTGTAGAGTGCTGAGAGCACCCTTGGGACAGGGTTCAATACACCTCCAAGCACACCCTCTGCAATTCTTTAAAGACCCCATCTCTTACACCCACCGCAGCACTGCCAGAATCCCTTCCGCCTTGTTTCACAGCAATCTTTCCTCTGAAAGCATAAGAAGTTGAAGCAGAGGAAAGGGATGCAAAGCAATGGGACTCCCAGCAATAAACCCAACAGATGTGGACAGGAAGATGAGTTCTTGGGCAAGAAACTGGTGAGATACTTCCTAGCATCACTGTCATTTTCTCCCCTCCTGTGCCTTAAATGTCTGATAGTTTTGGAAGAAGACAAGGTCTTCCTGTTGCAAAATCCCACATCTTTGTTAAGAGTATAAAGACTGAACAACTCCTTCTAATCCCAAATACATTTATGTTCAGGACACTCATGCGAACTGGAACACTTCTGAGGCACCTGGGCAAGAAAGCTGTGAGTTCATTCCCACACTCTGACCATCTTCTGCATCATTTTCTTTAAGTTTATTCCTAAGAAGCTGAGAAGAAAGAAAACTTCCCTGTTGCACAGCGAGCCCGCTGCAAGGAGGGATAAGCTAAAGCCATCTCTGCACATCTGCAGGAGCATCAGTTGAAGAGGAGGCAACTTCTATGCTTAAGGACATAAGAGAGAAATAACAACAAACAAAAGGGTAATAGGGTTGGGAGGCCTGATTTCATTTACATCTTCTTTCCTTTCTCCTCCTCCTCCTCCAGCTTTTCCTCCTACAGCCCTTCGTGAAGTTACAGCTACTTTGAACGCTGGCCGAGCGCCAACCTGTGCAAGTTACACTAATTTACTGCTTCCATTCAATATGTGGATCTTGTCATTAATTACTCCGTTGCTGGTCTTAGCCAAACGAATTCAACAGGCGATGAACCTCCTCACCCCAGGACTGACTTACGCGCCTGAAGCCAGCGGGCTAATGAGGCTCCGGAGGAGAGGGAAGACTGCAGGCAGCTACTTACATTGTCAGCTGAAGCTGAGCGCCGAGAAAAATAAAAGAGGAAAATAAATAAATAAAAAAGAGCACCCAAAATCTGTATGACTGAAAGAGGCACGTTTAAATGCAAACTCTCCATATGTGCAAGAGTCTGTCAAGAAATGTACAGCTTCACTTTTAATTACTGTCAGGGGAAAAAATAACTAAGAAGGAAAACAAAATAAAAAAAGCTTCTAAACACTAGAAAAGTACCAGCTACAGAATTTAATTGCTTATCAGGTGCGAACTGGCCCTTCATGGCCCCGAAGCCAGGGCTAAAGGTGCCGCTCGGACAGCTGTCGGCTTGGAGCAGCCTCGTGGCATGTTCGCGTTACGAGTTCTCCTCTTGCGAGCCCCAAGTCCTGCCTCGTGCATCAGCGAGAGTTACCCCCCAAGCCCATCTCAAGACCCGGGTCTATCTCTACGTGCTTTGAAACCTCAGCAAGACCTCCCCCCATTTTTAAACAGCTGGGGAAAATATGGTGCTTAAAGCTGTGGGTGGCAGCTGGGAACAGCAGCACAGCTTCTGCTCCATCCTCACTGCCCATTTGAGCTGAACTTCTTAAAAGCAGATAAATCTTCCTCCTTGGAGCCGGGATGAAACACAGCCCCAGGGTAAAAGGCTACAGCCCACCAGCTGCCCTGCACATCTCTCCTCTGCAGCAAAGGGAGATAATGCGAGCGGCTGGATTTGCTCCCTCCGGGGTTGAAATTCAGGTGGGTAAAATCTCCCTGCACTTACACACACCCCGTCCTGTCCCCGCTGCACCTGATTCTGGGGTCGAACCGTAAACCTGCGCACAGAAAGGACAGAGGCTAAAAAAAGCAAATGATTGTGACTCTGGGAAAGAATAAACAGCCGCAGGATTTGGTTGTGTCAAGGGAGTAGCTGCTTCGGCCAGAAAAGAAATTATTATTTTCAGCAAGACCTTAATCTCTTTCACAATGAGCTAAACCATACTGAATTATTTTGCATTAGCTATAGGGGGTGTGTGTGTGTGTGTGTGTAAATTACAACCTGTATGTAGGCAGCGTCGTGTATTGACCGACAGGCAGTAAAACGTGTTCATCAATAACCTGATCACGTCTCCGCCGGTGTCTCTGCAGGGGGCTGCAGTGACCCCCGAGCACCGGGCGCAAGGGCACGCCGGCACGGCTCTGCGGGCGAGGAGAGCCACGCTCGCTCAGGCAGAGCCCACCGCAGGCACATTAAGTCTCTCTTGAGGAAATCCCATCCCCCTATGTGAAATGCAAGACTCAAACTGTTTTTATGCTAGAGCAGGCTGCCAATTTTGTCACTAAATTTCACAGATCGATTGGCATAAATGTTACATTTTAATTTTAACATTTGAAACGCTTGGGGTTTTTTTTCTTCTTCTTTTTTTTTTTTTTTAAATGACAAGAGGTTCCAGTTTATCCTTTACAGCTAGTGAAATTGGGCTCATCTGACAGCTCTCGGCTCCTCTGACAGCTCTGGATTTGGGCCGATTTCATTGTCAATTTGATCGTTAACTCATTTTTGTTTAACCTTTTCTTTTAAAATGCCCCATACAAAGTTACCACCAAACCCTTACACATGACAACAAATAGTAACAGCCCGAACGATTTCTGCTTTTAGGTGACAGCAATCCCGCTACCGCCGTTTGGGGAAGGATCATTACCTTTAAACAAGTACTGTGCCACAGTCCACTGGGTTTAGGAGGAGTAAATTTAGCAGAATTTGCTCCTTCAGCCATTTTAACACGTGTGATCTACTAAGCTGAGCCAAGAGCTGGCAGCTGGGAGGACCTTCCAGCACCAACTCTGGGTGATTTGGGGCAAAACTGTGTGCCTCAATTTCCCCATTTATAAAATGGGGTTAATTAACCGTTCCTGTTCCTTGAAGAGAGGCTGAGATTTCGGCATTAGGAAGACAGGCAGAATTATCTGGCTTTCGCTATCAAGAGCACCCAAATGCTTACAAATTTCACAATAACAAGTACAAACTAAAAACGCCCTTAGCGATAACCCCCCGGAAAGCACTCGCTGTTTTAATTAATCAAAACGAGAGCGCACGACACCGGCCTTGCCGTGCTGCAGCTTGTCACGTTCAGGAAGCGACTTGTAAAACATGCAAATGAAAAAAAAAAAAAAAGTGTCCAAAGATGAAATCCGAGAGTTGCAGAAGTTGCATTTTGCAGGCAATGAGCTCATCTTGGTCTTCCCTTTCCAGAAGGGAAAGATAAAGTTGAAGCCATTGCAGGGGGCTGGGCGAATGATGTTAAATAGATCAATAACCTCGAGCACAACAAGCTGGGTCCAAAGGGCAGGTTTTCCGTGACGAAGCCCTTGCTAACCTGTGATGGGAAAGGTGGGAGCCCTGTGCGAACGTGCTGTGAAAGGTAAGGTGGAATTGGGAGAATTGTCTGCGAGTGCTAAAAAATGCATTTCTTGGTACTTGCAAACAAAGCGGGTGGGGGAGATGTTAAAATACTTACGATGGGTGTTCCAAAGGGAATGTAACCTATTAAAAAAAAAAAGATGCATGAGTTTTAATATGCGGTTTTGGAATGGGGAAAAAAAAAAAATCACATTAAGACATTGACCAGTTTAGGGTAGAAGCCACAACCTGGCATGATGGGCTGCGCTCACTTCCCCCAGCGGGGACACCTACACCTGATGCACCAAGCATCGACTAGAGCAGCCTCCTGATTTCTGCCCAACGTCCTCCCCATCCTCTATTTGCTTTTCTTGGGTTGTGGTCTAAGAGTTTCCCTGAAAGTTGTAACACCTAGACCCCAAAGCTTACTCTGGTAAACCCAGTCTGAGCCAGTGCAGGGGATCAGCCCTTCAGAGGGCACCGTGCTGTTGAGCATGGCCAGGCACCAGCAAAAACTCACATTGGCAGAAGCAAAGGGATGACAGCTCAGACCAGGAGCTGCTTAGTCTGGACCAGGAGGAGCTGGATGCTGCTCTCTGAGCTGACCTGGTGGCTTGCTGCCACGGCAAGGGGGAGATCCTGCCCCCCTTCCCTGGCTCACTCACGCAATCTGTTCCCTCCCTCGTGCCAGCTCTGGTTGCTCATCAGACCCTCCCACAACCTACCCTCACTAACCCAGAGGAAAACTCTCCAGCTTTCCGTGCCACTTCCCCTCTTGTTGAGCCTGGTCCCACCAGGACAGCGTGCTGAAGATGCTCACGGAGCCATCTAACAAGCTGCAGAGCCAGTTAAGGAGCAGGACTGTGCCACCACAGGTGGAACCACCCTCTTTTACCATCTCCTTTATCAACCTCTCCACTAGTGATTTTATACCAGGAGAGCTCATTTATTTCTAGGTCAGTAGAAAAAGGAACGGGGTATAAGCTGAAGAAAGTATATTTGCATCACGGAGGAGAGGGGGACTATTTTAATCATAGGTATAAGTTAAAGCTCTCTATATTAGAGATAAGGCTTTACCCCAAATCTTGTTGAGTGCCACAAAAATCAAATGCTTCACATTTTTCCCCTGCTAAGTCTGCCAATTTTTGTGCTAATTATAATTCATCTCTATGACTTCCACTAGAAGGTCTCAGAGAATTTTACCAATATTACTGAATTAAGCCTCATGGATCCAATTTACAGTTGGAAAGGGCAGAGACCTGAGGGGAAGGGAGGGGAAGGAATATTTAAAAAAAAAAAAAAAAACCAGAACAAGGCAGCAAAAGAGTGGGTCCTGGCTTTTATCCTCTCCACACAAAACGTTATCTTTCTCAAAAGAACTGGAAAACAAACCGCACCAACCCTGTTATTTTTCCCCTGTGCTCAGTATTCAGGTGAAGATGTTCCCTCCAAAAATATGGAAAAGGTTCTATTTATTTAAATAGGTCCTTTGGGAAAGGACCAGGCTGCATTTGCACCCTCTAGAGAGCTGCTATTCAACTCACAGCAGAGGTAGCTGTGGACCTGTCCACGGCAGAGGGACACCCCGAAGTGGGAAGGAGGAGGCCGTGAGTTAATCATTCAGCAGCCCAGCTGAGCCACGGACAAGCCAATCTTTCCTGGGCTCCCAATGCCATGGCTATCAGGTACCACCACACACGGACAAATAGGTGTCATCCCACTCTCTCCTGGGGAGTAAAACCCTAAGATGCTCGTTGGGCCTCAAGCTTCACGTTAACTACAATATTAAAATGTCTGTTTTAGTGATGGATACCTCAAAAATGCCGGAAAAGACATTAGCTTGAGTCTTAAAATATCTGAAGGAAAGGAAAATATTAAGCGCTAGATCTCACACAGTCATTGAGGACCCCAATTCTTGATAGCAAAAGGATTTAGGCATTTGAATTCCTTTCTGATTTGGGTCTGAATGTTTACAAGATGCAACTCAAAACCAGGAAAAAAAACCAACCAACCCAAACAACAACAACATTTTGCACCAATTCCCAGTAAAAGGAATGATTACCCGATTGGGACATACCATACCTGACATCCGGAAAGGCATGAAGATGGTCTCATTTGTGTCAGGGTGGATGATGGCCTGCAAAAGAGTCAGCAGACAGACACGGTGAAGGCAGAGCAACAGTTGGTGAGGAGCAGCCTCTACAAACAGCACCTTCAACTGTCCCGGGGGGCTTCACGTGCCTCGGCACCCTCCTGGCTTTTGCAGCTCCAACCAAAGGCAGTTATTGCTCGGCCGCCTCCACAAAACCTCCTCCTAACGCTGCCTTCCCCTCTCCTTAAATAATTTAGCACACATTAATAATTTAGAAGTAAATAACTTAACCTGAAATACAGAAAGCGGCTCTTTCTTGAGACTATAATGTCCCCAAAGGCCACCCACTGCTGTATCTTAACCCCAGGGGGTGAAATGCAGATTTAGGAGGGGAAAAGGAAAAGCAAAATTCTGTCCCTGCCTCTTTTCAGCATCTCCGTGAGGTGCAGCTTAATGTCCTGAAACTCTGCCCTAAGAAAGAAAGGAAAAGCCCTCGCTGTGGCAGAGGGAGAGGGAGGGCAGGACTGTCTGCTCGGGAGGGAACAAGGGTGTAAATCACTTTATTCTGCTTGTCAAGCAAACGAGTCGCAGGAGAACCCCGTAAGAACTTGTGTGGCTTAGCCACGGCGGACAGACTGAGACTGAGGAACATCTTCCCCATCTGCAGCTCTGTCTGCACGAGCCCGCACGGCACGTCAGCGGAAACCTGAAATGCTGCTTCAGGATCTGGCTGAGTTGGGGAAAAACCACGCAGGTATGGTCCGCTCCAGCTGTCACCCTAAGGGTGACCCCAATAAAATCCCCTCGCACGTCATGGGATTTGGACTTGCCAGATAATTCAACCTTTACTTTTATCCGCAGCTTCTCAGCCAACGCTGGCGGCTGTGGACAGTTCAACCTCCACGGAAATCCTAAATCTGTTCTACTGACAAACAGACAACGAAGCTCACTTGGCCCGTTTTTACCAAATTTTACAATTAGCCCAGGAGGTTGCACGGGCATTAACTGGCTGGGGATGAAAAATCAGTCCCCAGGCAATCCAAGGACTGCAGGGGAGGAAGGTACGACACAGTTACAAGCCTTACCAAAGAACTGTCAAACTATTTTCAAAAGACTGGAGACATGAAATCTCTTGACTAGACAGGAAGGAGAAAATGAAGACATCAAAATATATAAATACAAAAAAAAAAAAAGAAAAAAAAATCAGACTCTTTGGTGGCAACAGTGTTCTCTGCATTTACATTTCTGTGGCAAGACAAAACAGCAACTGGCAGAGTCAATAATGGAGAAGAGGACAGCATCGCTTAGCAAAAAGGAAAAAAGCAGCAATATTTGAAAATAATAATGAAATATATAAAAAATCGTATTACCTGCTTTATTTTTTGAGCTCCCCACAGCTAGAAAAATAAAAGAGAACATTGCATTAAAAAAAAAAAAAAAACAACGAGCAGTGTAGTTTTATACCAAACCCCAAACATTCATCTTTTAGCTCCTGTAGTAAACGAAGACGAGGGACTGCTTTAAACCAGACTCACTCTCTGCATCCTTCCAGGATGTATTTAAAGATCCTTTACACACACCGAGCTCCTTCAAATCTGTGTGGCCAGTAAGACCAGCAAGGCAGGGAAAATATTCTTTCTGATATTGAATGGTAAGCAAGAATAACAACAGCCAGACTTCACGCTCTGCTATAAGCTTTACAAATCGAGAATTATCTCGGCAACTCTGCCGCACGTAGAGCTCAAGGTAAATTTAGCACAGCCTCTCCTTGGATGAGCTTCCTGCAGAAATTGAGCCTTGCTGGGGAACAAAGGTGGAGCAAGCCCTGCAGTGAAATACAAGAAGTATCTCTTTATATAAAACCTGGATTCGGAATAAACCACCACTACTTTTTATTTCTTCACAAGGGAAACGCACCGAAAAATGTTCATGAAGAGGAAAAAAAATCTCATTTAAAACTCTCACGAGCGCCTACTGTTATTTACTGACTGTAATTCAGCAGCAGCAAAACACCTCAAGTCAGGCTCAGTCAGCAGAGATCTACGAGCACTGAGGAAGAAACATCCCGCGTGAGGTGCAGGTAGAACTAACGAGTAGGTGCACACCACCAAGAGATGCTCTGGCATATACATAAACCCATAGTTTGCCCCTGCTTAGTTAAGGCAGAGGGCTTTCCCTGATGAATTATATCTAAATGCAAATTATAATCTTAATTAAAAAAAAAAAAAGAAAATAAAAATCCCCATTTTGATGTATATAATTCTAGAGAAGGATGAAAAACTGGGACTCCTGTAAAATCCCACAACAGAGCGATCGCTTTTACTATTAAGAATTGTTCTGCTCAGCTCAAGTCTGGCTTCAACTTCCAGGCACCGGCTTGTGTTACACCTCTGTCTGACAGCCTCCAGCGCGCTCTATTTTTGTTCTTCACACAGGTACTTGCAGCTGCTAAAGCCACCCTTTAACCTTCATTTAAAGAAAAAAAAAATTACAAAATTCATCCGAGCCAGGAGACTGGCTGTTTCATTGGCAAGGCGTGTTTGCCAATCTTTTAACCACCCTCGTGGCTCTTTTACATCTTTCCAATTTGTCAACATCCTCTTGAATCGAGGACGCCAGAAACCAGACAAATTATTCCAACAACAGTTGTACCCCTGCCAAACCAAGGGGAGGCTAACCTGATGAGTTCTGCTCTTGCTGTTGATAAATCTGAAGACGGAGATAGCTCTTTTTGCTTGGAGAGCTCACGATTCCCCACCCAAATACCTACCCAAGCGCCGTGCACGTATTTTACAACACAGGCTCTCACGCTTAAATTTTATCAGTATCATGGTATAAATAAAGCCTCATTCTGCCATTCTTCCTCACCTGAGGTTTAGTGCCTTCCCCAAATATAAATCCGTTAAAATACTGTTGAAATGAGGTAATCACTCGATTATAAATAGCGTGAATTGACCCGCTCGTACCAGCAACCCCGGTATTTCACTCCAAATTCAGCTCTCACTCCAGAATTGAAGCTCCGTGATGAACTCCACTGCGTGCGATGAGTTACTGGAGTATCTAAATGTCACAGGCTGAGGCACGTATCCCTAAGGCTCTTCCCTGAGGAAAACTTCTCTTTTTAAGGAAAATCATTATTCCCCATTTTACAGTCAAAAAACAGAGGTTGAGGGACACGAAGAGACGATGCTTGTGGTTGGCGGAGACAAGATGCGTCTACCCCTCACCAATCCTAAAATCCCAACGGGTGGGAGGCTGCCTGCCCAGAGAGCCACCAGGGCTTTTCTGCACCTGCCTGCCCACCGGCTTGAGGACTTCCGTGGGGTGAAAGTGGAAGCCCTCGAGCCGTAGGTGGCTACTCAAAGCGTCCCAGTAACCCTGGGGCTGCCCAGGTCTCGTGTATCTTAGAAGTCAAACGAAACCAAAGGATTTTCCTCTCCAACTGCAAGCACCAAGACTAGCAAAAAGGAAGAGGGATGGTTTCTGAGCCAGCACTATGGCTTTTTTGGTCAAATTATCTAATTTCATTAATTGATCCCAATATTTATGCATTTTCCTGCTGCAGTGCAAATATTGTTAGAACATGCGATTTCATTACTTCTCAGAAAGAGACTTTACAAGATGCACCTGATGAGTCACCTAAAGATTCTGCCAGCTCATTTTCACTTTTTTATCCTCTAATTCATTTTCTGTCTGCAGCATTTTTCAATAGCTCCAGTACTCTGACGAGTCTTGCCAGCTGGGGGGCTCGTTTCTGAGAGCAAGTCTCTATTTTTGCTGGGGATTTCATTCACGCTCTCTCCGGCCATCTTCGAGAAGCAGCCAGATTTCGATCTCATTTTCACTAGCGTGAATCCAAAGCGTCTTCACTGAAGCACGTGAAATGACTCCAGATTCGTGCTCAATTTATGTTAGATTTAGGTCCACGGTCTCTAAATATAGTCAGCCTATACTGGGTGGGTCTCCTGTAACAGATGATTTTCCTTCGCACCAGCTTTGCTGGATATTACTGGCTCAAAGCAACACAGGGGTTTCGCCATTCAAATCTGGGTGCAAGAACAAAACCTGCTCATACATGGGTTTACACCAAAGAAGCCCAGAGGACACAGGGGCAGGAGCGCTGGAATGCTGTTAACATGTTTCACTATCCACCCAGCAACCTAAGCAGGCAGTGATGGCCACGTTTCTCCAGCCTGGGGCCGGTGCAGCCTTCCACCAGGCCAGACCAGGCTCTGCACCACGGATATTTCCTTCGTGGTTGCAGAGGAATCACCTCCAGATTCTGCTTTTTTTTACAACTTTTTAAAAAAGAGATACTCACCACTTGGCTCACCGCCTACAGCAGATAGGTTTAAAACCCCGAACTCAGGAACTGAACTCAGTTATACAGAAACTTCAAGTGCTTATGACATTTAAGGAAGGGTATCAAAGACTGCCACAACCGAAGGAGAACCAAAGCTACAGAAAGGAGATAGAGATTGGAATAACTCTTGGGGAACAGAGACCATCTTTGGTTGACAGGACATTCATTAGCATTCCTTATTTAGCAGCAGAATCGCAGCTTAGAGATAGTTTTCCAAAAAAGTATTTATTAAAAGAATGTACCCAGCCCAAATCTATTAGCTAACACCTGCCACTATAAAAGCAGTACAAAGAGTACCAGTTATTCTTAAAATATTAACTTCCCTCCTATTAAATGCAGTAAGATTTCATCATCCTGGACTCAGAGATGGGATTTTTATTTTTTTTTTCCCTTCTGCACAAAGTTCCACCTAGATTAGAAAAAACAGGTCTACAAACTGTTCACCCGTGTTTCCAGCAGGCTCCAATGCTGCTAAAAGAAGTGGCCAGCTCCACCCTACACCAGTGCAGTTGCCTGTATCCAGACCACCTACTACATCACCAAAGTTGGCCTTGAGCGTCTACAGTCAGGAGAGCACCGATGGATTCACACCACCTACTCCCTTGCGTTTCCAGCAGCCACCTCCCTACGGTCAGTGGAGGCACAAAGGCAGATTTGATGTCAGGAATCTGTAATAGATGCTCTAACACTTCCCTCCCTCAACTGTAGGCACCAACAGGACCCGGGTTCCTTGCACAACACTGTAGCAGACATGGTAATGATCTTAAATTCACGGGTGCGTGCTCTGGATATGCCATGTCAGGAATAACTCTACAGAGAAAAGCTCTTACTGATTAACCACACACTAAACATGAGTAAGGACAGGGCATTAGCTCATTTTCAAAGAGCTAACGAGGAGTCACGTGGTAGATGAGCCTGACGTGTAAGAAAAAACACAACAGTTTAAGTTCTGCGAAGACTAAGTGGCCCACCTGTGTTAGACTTTGCACCAACATCACTCCCAACAGTTGACAAAGTACCCCAAGTAAAGACAAGGTTGAAGAGAAAGTCCTCAGAATAATTAGTATTTTCTGTTTATTTATTTCATCTGCCCACTCAAGGAGAGACAGAGCCCCATCTTGAAATCTGCTCATCCCCTTCTCGCTCCATCAGGGAGGTTCTCACCCTTTCACAAAACCCCACCTGCACCAACAAAATTTTAATAAGGTAACGACCTGGAGTTTGCACCCCATCGGAAATTGCCAGTAGTTTCACACTCTGGGAGTTGCAAGGTTTATTAAAGCAAAGCTTAGATTATCTATTCCACACTGAATTCCAAATATTGGGTGTCGGGAAGGGAACGTGTGATGCAGCAAAGCTTGTTCTGAAGAAGAAGAGCAAGCTGCTTTCATACGCGTGGCCATTTGGAAGGACAGCCTCCAAAGCCAGATGAGCTTTCTGATCACCCCGATTGTTTAAATGATACAAAACCAGAGGAAAAAAAGAAAACCTGGTTTAAAAGGCATAAAACTTTCTGTGCTTGGAAAATTCATTGAGAAACCCTTCAGACCAGCAACAAGGACCTGGCATCGCATTAGTGTCCGGTGATAGTGATGACTCTGAACAAGTTTTAACTTCATACTAGATCCCTTAACTGGTAGTCAAATGGCCAGAGTACAACACTGGAGGCGGGATTCATCCCCTCTAACAAACGTCTATGAGGTAATAAATACCTCCTCCAGCAAAGTCTCTGGATTTCCTTTATGTCAGCAGCTCAACTCATCCCGACGAGATGACCAGTACAGGCTGCATAACCTGAGGGAACTGGGGGGGTTCAGTCTGGAGCAGAGGAGGCTGAGGGGAGACCTCCTGGCCCTCGGCAACTCCCTGCCAGGAGGGGGCAGAGAGGGGGGATGAGTCTCTGGAGCCAAGGAGCCAGCGCCAGGCCCCGAGGGAATGGCCTCAAGCTGCCCAGGGCAGGGTCAGGCTGGCTCTGAGGAAGGATTTCTGTGCAGAAGGGGCTGTTGGGCGTTGGAATGGGCTGCCCAGGGCAGG